ACCAGGCGGCGGTTGTGTGGCGGGCGACGACGACCGCGAGTCATCGGGTGGGGCGACGGACGCGGACGAGCAGGCGGTTAGATGAAAAAACGGAATCTCAAAACACTTTTTTGGTGTTTTAAGAAAAGCGTTTATTTTTTGGATTTTGTAAAGGGTCAAGTCAAAAAATCGCCCCGGTTGCCAATCACGTTTTATTTTTTTTTTTGAAAAAAAAAACAAAAACGGCAAAAACGCCATGGTTGCCAAATGCTCCCTTAACAATGAACTTCTAAATGTGAATACTTTTACTTATAGATTTTTTGGCACTTTATTGGTGTTATGAAAAGTTGAATCTATTTCTATTGCATTACCATACAGATTGATTGATATCTGTATATCCATTTGGAAGACTATACTTATTCATATTATTTAGGTCTTCTTCATTTTCAATAGCAAAGGTGAAGTTGTTGTTCCTTTCAGTTTTGTGTTTCAGAGACAAAATCAAATGAGGTTTTTAATTTCTCTGACACTTTAAACTTTATGCTCATTAACTGGGTTGAGGAATCAACATGTAAGAATATCCCCTTATCAGTTGATGTGTTGGCAACCATATAAAATATAGAACCTTTTGACATTATGAATGATGGATTGGAGTAGAGGAAGTAATAAAGAGAGGTTATGATCATTAAGAGAAATTAATGGAAAACTAAGATAGATCCGTCTCTCTTGATAAGTTATATAAGAATTAAGGAGAGAGAGAGAGAAGATTTCCCTCCAAAACACAAATTTAATTAGCATTAAATGCATACCATCATTACAACAGAAGAGAAACAGGGCAGTTTTTTTTTGTGGTTTCTGCGAAAAGATAGAGGGTTAATTTTGGGTTTTAAACAAAATACTATATAGAATGGGCAATTGAGGCTTAAGAGTAAATGGTAAGCCAATTTGGGGGCTATGCATATAAAAAAATTTATTTGAGGCTTACTCACATTCTCTTTAGTCATTCTGGGACCTCATAGCATTTCTCCTATTTTTATAAGCCTAACTAAAGATATATACCAAAAGCTAGTGTTAGATTACATATAGTTTTTCCGTCAGAATCCCACACACCCATAAGAGATAAATGGAGATGAGATGAGATGAGTTGTCACCTTATTATAGGATGATGTGAGTGATTTTTTAAGAAAATTTGTTTTGATGTTGTTTGGTTGGCGGAAAAAATAAGAAAATAAATTATAAGAAAACTATTTCTTGTAATAGGTTGCTTTCTTTTGTTTGGTTATTTCTTAAAAATAAGAAAATAGATAAGATGAGATGAGTTGTCATTATATTATTGGATGATGTGACACACACTTAAGGAAATTGTTTTCCTAGCTTTATTGGATGATGTGACACACACTTAAGGAAATTGTTTTCCTAGCTTTTTGGGAGGAAAACAAAGAAATGAAATGTTAATGAGATGAGATGAGTTGTCACAATCTTATTAGATGATGTGAGTGATTTTTAAATATGAGATGAGATGAGTTGAGTGATGTTGTGGATGAAAATAATATTTTATTAGATGTGGTGGATGTGATGGATGAGTTGTTGGATGAAAATAATATTTTATTAGATGTGATGGATGAGTTGTTGGATAAAAATAATATTTTATTAGATGTTGTGGGTGAGTTTTTGGGATGGAAATGTGTGAATTTGTACTTTTTGAGATTTCTTGATTTTTATTTCTATTTTTTGGTTTTTTAGGAAATAACCAAACAGGCCCTTAAGCTGTCTTTCAAAATCTAAAATTAGCCTCTCAGGCTCAAATCACTAAAATTGTTAAAAGATCCCCGAATTTTAATTTAGTTTGAAATTGGTCCCTCAAGTCATTGTAATTGTTATTAGCTCTCCTCATTTTTAAGTTATTTAAAAATTACTCCCTCCATTCAAGAGTAGAAGTAGCAATTAGAAAGATTAATATGAAACAACTTTTGAGAATTTGGAGATCTAGTAGCAAATTTAATGGTCTGAGGGACTAATATCAAACCATGAAATATTTGAGCACAAAAAACTTCATGGTTACGTGCTTCTGTTGTTCTTTTGTTTGGGCTTTGAAGTTCGCCCGTGCAAAAAAAAAAAGGTCCAGTCCACCTAAAATTTTCACACAATGAAGTTTAGAAGCTAAAAATAACGAGAGAAGGTAAAGTCCAGTATACCAAAAGTTTTCAGCACATGTGGCGTGGCAAATATTTGTACACTCGTTAAAACAAGCCGTTGGGCCTTTAAATACAAGTCCAAGGTCCAGACATTGTCTTGATGTTCGCCTGCACGGACCGCAAGAATCCTAACCACGAACGAGGCCCAGTACGGTAGGTGAACCATCTTGTGATCTTGGCAATTGTTAGGTCTGCTTTTGAACCTTGCTGCATGCTAGTCAAGCGGTGGCACTGTTTGTTTTAAATACTTGCAAAATTAGTTAGCGCGTACAAATTAAGTTTTTATCATATTAGTTCCTCTAAAGTTGATAATTTGAAATAAAAATTTCAAAGACGATATTGTAAAGTTATCTCATTAGGAACTTTTAGGTTAAAAGTAAAAGATTTGAGTCCTTCACTACAGAAGTACCTCCAACCATTTATTTTGTATAGTTGCTTCTTTTGGTGCAAATGGAGGAATTGTTCGCTTCATGAGAAATACGGTAGCAGCAGTAGATGTTGTAGCAATGTTTTGTTTTCAGTATACAAATTTATATTTTGTAGAAAAAGGCAGTAGCATTTTCCATAGACAATTTAGCTGCAACAAATATTAATTGAAAACTTCGAAATTAATGTCCCATCACCAATTTAGTTGAAATAAATAAGAAAATATAGATTATTTTGTAATTTTTGATTGAAATAAATTAATTTTCGATAATAAATATAAGTTTTGGAAACTAATAAAATACTGAATTTGAATTTAAAAATATATTTTCTTTGATAAAAAATGGAGATTAAAACGATATCTTTGTGATGAATTTTTTTGCAATAAATATTTACATGCATTATTTGCTACATGCGATATTAGACCATTTCAGCATCCTAAAAGGACCATAGCCATAAAAGAAAAGACATTATACATCATTTCAATTTTTGCATGTGTCTTATTTGAAGAAAGGGGGTGTTTAGTTGTTCCGTTTATAATTAAAATTTTTTTTTTGAGCTGAAAAGCAGAGAATAAATTTCCCTGCTCAAAATATATTCATATATGTACTGAAGAAGAAGTCTAAACATGTACAAACTTACAAAACTTACAAAAAAGACTGGGTTTGGAGGAACAAGAAGAAAGGAGTCGATAGGGAGCGGACCTTGTCGTCACCTATCATGACTCTTCCCCCTTGTACCTACCTCACAGTAGGGAGAACCCCCCAGAAAAACAAAAGCAAACTAATCACTGGCTGAAAACAATCTACCGCCCAAAAAAGCACAAAGGCGTCAAAAGGAACATAAAGGTTTAAAAATCCCACAAAAGAAGGAGAAGAGGAAACCAGTGCCACCAAGAGAAAGCTTGCATTCCTCAACTTTACCAACACCTGTTGATGATAGGGAACCTACTGAAGAAAAACAGCTGCACACCCCGATTGCCCCAGGCGACATCTTAATCAACCAGGAAGTTATCATCCATGTCCGCACCTGCTTTTTTCTTCGCAATTTCTTGGAATTGTAACTTGAGAGCAGCTCTGCGGATCCTTCTTGTAAGTCTATCATCCTTGGAACCTGCCCATAAAAGAGTATATCTGGCAACGTTAGCAGCTATATTCTCTGGATTAGACATGATATCTTTAAAGATTATAATTAAAAATTTGATGTGTCTTATTTGAAGTAAGGGGGTGTTTAGTTGTTCCGAAGAGAATTGAAATTGTGTAAGTTACTTTTCTTTGCAAAATAACTTTCACATCCACATCAGCATATAAGTGGAATGTAATGTTTGTTTCAGAAAAAAATTTATCGTTGAAAATGCAATGTAAAGATGATGTGACAAAATTAAATTAATTAGTAAATATAATTAAAATCATTTAATTAAAATTGGTTTCTATTTTTGTCACTTCATGTGACTTCACCACTTTTTTAGAGGAAGTCAAATTTGCATTAAATCCTATGTGGCAGCTTTTTTACATTTCACTTTCACTACCACATGCATGCAAATGAACACATAAAATGTTAAAAGAAAGTCATTTTTTCACTTTTATCTTTCACTTGCATGTAAACAAACACCCACTAAATCAAGTTCCCTTGATTGATAATTATAGTATATTCATATTACATTGCTCATATGAGCGTATACACACCTGTAATACACTAATCATAAGTATAGATGAACATATCACTAGTTACTTATTTAGATCATAATTTAAATGTTGGGCAACTGGTCAAGCTGACTTATAAGCACCTTTTTGTGACTTATAAGCCACCGCAACATGTTTGGCGACAGGCTTATTTTAGCTTATAAGCCAAAAAACTGCTCTCATAACCAGCTTATTTTTTGGTGGCTTATATGCTATAGAGTTTAACCAAGTAAATGTCAAGTTTACCCATCAACATTTAACATAATTTACATTTAAAATAATTTCAAAGTCTATTCAATGTTTAAATTTAGGGCTGTATCATTTTTTATTATTTTAACAACAATGATATATTATAGTCCACTCATTTTGCAAAGGCTTTCTTATTAAAAGCAACTATAATTTATTTTTTATTTTGCCAAACACTTTAACTTATAATCCACTTGGCTTATAGCTCATTTATGAATTATATGCTAAGTAGATTATAAGCCAAGTTCCCAAAAATGCCCAAAATGTTGTCACATCGTTGACACCTCACCTAGGAGTGTGAAAAGACTGATAACCCACTTTAGTCCTATATCGGACACAATTTATTGTGGATAAGAATGAAACCGTAAATATTTGATAGTTACTTAGAAAAAGACTACAACATTTATACAAATTTTAGCTTTTTGGCGTTTCCTTTTGAAATTATACCTTAAACGATTGCCTCACGTCACGACTCTTTTTTGGTTGCCAGCGCGAGAGGCTCCTATAAGATCCTGCCAATTTCTAAACATTCCCTCACCATTAGAGTTCTTAGAGGTCGATATTATTATCTATAATTTTTTCTGGGTTTTCTTTAATTATCCCAATTTTTTTTATTAATTTCTTAAACATTTTGTTTTCTTTTAGTTGGATTAAGCATAGCAACATGGTCGAGCAACTTCCCTCTATTCTTGATGCCTCTGCGGATCCACCTACTCTCTTCGATGGAACCACAAGGTAAAAAGGAATTTTTTTTTTGTTGTTGGTGTTTTCTCCATAATTTACCAGCACTTTCTTAATTTTTATATCGATATGTTGTTTGTTTGTGAATATAAAGGTTGTATGTGACCTACACATGTCCGTATGCCCAAAGAACTTGGATTGCAAGGAACTTCAAGGTGAAAAAGACCCGTCTACTTAATTATCATATTTTTTATTTGCATTTTGTTGAAATTTAGTGAAAATGCTGACGTATGTTTTCTCGTTCTTGGAAATTTTGGGATCAGGGCTTGCAAGAGAAGATAAAATTGGTCCCAATTGATCTCCAAAATAGGCCAACTTGGTACCAGGAGAAGGTGTACCATGAAAACAAGGTAATTATTTGAAATATTTTCTTATTAATTTCTCCTAAATGTTATTTATTTTGAAACCCACATTTTTCCAAAATCATTTATACACCCAGAATAACCAACCTAATTTATTTTAAAAACCAAATTTTGTATTAGTATACGATAAAGAATGGTAAAATTTTATAGTTTTGTAGAATATAAAATTATACTTCTCAACCCTCACAACAACTTCAGAGTTCTGATATAGCGGTCAAATGCCATGAATTTTAAGCAGATTTACTTTTTCTTGTTGCTGCGTTAGTTTATAGTGGTAATTTGTATTATAGGTGCCTGCTTTGGAGCATAATAATGAAGTTAGAGGGGAGAGTTTGGATTTGATCCAATATATTGATGAAAATTTTGAAGGCCCGAAATTGCTTCCTGAAGTAAGAATGTATTCTTCCTAATTTCACGATAAGTATGGTAATATTGGACACAGTTTTTAACTTTATTTTTGGACATTTCTTCTATGTTTTTGATTTGTAGGATCCTATAAAGCAAGAGTTTGCCACTGAGCTGTTGATTTATAGCGACACTTTAAATAAAGTTAATCTTTCTAAAATTACATCTAAAGGGGATACACTTGATGAAGTTGGTGAGTTACGAGATTTATGTTTTTACTGAAGAGGAAGTAGGAAAATGATTAAGGATCATTAACACTTACTAATTTAGGCTACTTTATATTCATTAGATGCTGCTTATGATAAGTTGGAAGAAGCTCTTGCTAAGTTTGATGGACCATTTTTCCTCGGCGAATTCAGTCTGGTAAGAATTTAGTTGGTTGAACTATTTTTTTTAAATTGAAATTTTGCCTTGGAAATAAGTGTGCATGTCACTTATATTGACAATAATGTATTAAAGATATGGACTTGGAATATTCTCAATTTTTATCCCGTCAATATTATATATAATATATTAAGTATAATATATATTATATAATATATAATATATATAATATAATATATATATATATATATATATATATATATATATATAAATTTATATATATATAATAATATATATATATATATATATATATATATATAATATATATATATATATATATAGTAGAGAGAGAGAGAGAGAGAAGAGAGAGAGCGAGGAGAGAGAGAAATATGGGTATGATTTGGTAGTGATGTGTCACATCTCCATCGCACTCACTGCCTATGTGAATTTATTCCCAACATTTGAATGAGTAGAGGGGGATTTGACACCTCACTACCAAGCACAACTTTTTATGCTTGATACCAAGCCATACTCATATTTCTCATATATATATATATAATATATATAATAATTAATATATATATATATATATATATATATATATAATATATATATTTATTTGGTCTGATGGCATGTTACGATATGATGATGATGGCTTAATATTTTGTGTCCAGTTGCTAATGGTTGTGAAAATTTTAAACTGTCTACTCTTTGCGTTATTTGCCATAGAATTATGCCTTCATTGTGTGATGTCCCTTTTATGAGGCAATAATATAACCTTAGACATAATTACATATAGTATGAAAGATGAATGATTATCTCGTTTTCTATTCTTGTAACAAGTTAGAGGTCGTCATTGCTTCAAGCATTTCAAGACTATCATCTCATTACATTGATGAGATGTTGATCGTTGATTTCTATCGACGTCTAATCATCTTCTAAATCATCATTTTTATTAGGTGGACATTGTATATGCACCATTTGTTGTTGAAAGGTTCAAGCCGTTGTTTGCAGAGGTAAAGAACTATGACGTCACCAAAGGCAGGCCAAAGCTGACCAAATGGATTGAGGTACATATAGAATCATACTAAAACTTGAGCATAACTGTTTGTATATTAATTCCATTACTAGTTTCTTTTAGTCTTTTATTGAGCCTTCTAAGTATGGAGTTATATTTCAGCACCTATTCCATTTTTTGATAGGAATAAGTCTTTGATGATGATAACAAACTAATTTATGAATTATGACAGTCCTAATTTTTCCTATCAAACCCTCTTTGTAGGAGTTGAACAAGATTGATGCTTATACAGCTACTAAGTGTGATCCGATAGAGCTACTTGGTGGCATTAAGAAGCGGTTTGGGATAGGTCTGTTTTTATTTTTATTTTTGGGTTGAATTCTCTATATTATTAGATTCATCATTGTGGACCTTATTATGATGAGTACATAGTGTATTCAAGCACCTAATTTATAATTTGTTGTTTTCTTTCTCAGATTGAATGAAGGTCCTCAATGCTCCTTGCAGGTTGAACTATAAACTCTAGAACCTTATTTATATTATTTATGAACATGCACAACTTAAAAAATTATTAGATTCTACAATTTATATTAGCTTAAAAGAAGTTCAGGGATAATAAGTGGTTAACCACCTTCAGTACAGAAGCAGCATCTGCAGTTACCCCTTTATCACTTTATGTTATTAATTGGTCGAGGTGCATGAAATTGGGGAGAAAGTATATCTTATTATATTGGAGAATAGACCCAACAACTATCATCCAATTGTGGATAGACCCCATACAATCCTATTGTTGCAGATAAGACCCCAGAGTATTTCTTTAAGTTTTTATCCTCAAAGAAAGAGAAAATTATTTTTTTGATAAATAGATGTCCTGAAAAAAAGAGTCCAAAGATTACACACAGGGGTCTCTCTGCAATAACTGAAGTATGGGGTGTCTACTAGCAATTGGGCAAGGTGTCCACCCACAATTAACCCTTATTAATAGAAGCCTTGCCACTTTCGTACTCTCAAAACTTTATATAGTATAATATATCATAATATATATATATATATATATATAATATTATATATATATATATATATATATAATATTATATATATATATATATCATATATATATAAATAAAGATTAATGGGTATGCGCTTGTCACTTAGGAGGGGCTTTCTTCTGACGGCCTATGTGGCCACAATCTCCCACCATCCTCAATAAAAGTAAAGAGAAGAGTATATGTGGTGAGGTCTGGTTGGGATTTGCTTGCCATACTTTATGAGGATGGTGGGAATTAAATGCCACATAGGCGACAATGAGGAAATCTCCTCCTGATGACAAGGATACCGCATTAATATATATACCTATATATATATATATATATTATAGATATATATATATTAATTATATATATATTATATAATATATATATATAGTATATAGACACACACAGACATACAGACAGACATATTTATATATAAACACACACACACACGGTGTGTGTGTGTGTGTGTGTGTGTGTGTGTGTGTGTATATATATATATATAATATATTATATAATATATATATAATATATATATATATATATATATATATATATTATATATATATAATATATATATATATATAATAATATATAGAGAGAGAGAGAGAGAGAGAGAGAGAGAGAGAGAGAGAGAGAGAGAGAGAGAGAAATGTGTATGCTTGGTACAAAGTACAAAAAAGCTGTGCTTGTAGTGAGGTGTCAACATCTTCCTCACTCATTCAAATGTAGGACGCCAAATTCACATGGGTAATGAGTGAGATAAGGGTGTGACAACATCACTACCAAACATAAATTTTTGCTTGGTAGCAAGCATTCCCATATTTCTTATATATATATATATATATATATATAATATATATATATATATATATATATAATATATATAATAATATATATATATATAGTAGGTAAAAGCTTATGTCAACTTAAAGTTGATAGAATGTGTCATCCACTAACTTTTTTATCGCGTTGATATTGCATTGGTCCGTGATAGATATGAAGAATCTTTAAGATTTGTGCATATTTTGAAGGCAACAAATATGCTTGAGACAAGATGATGGGAATAAAAGTTTGGTGGACAAGGCTTCTATTCCACTTAAATGGATAAGAGTTTTACTCCTCTCTCTCTCTCTCTCTCTCTCTCCTCGTCTATATATATTATATATATATATATATATATAATATATATAATTATATATATATATATAGTTATTAGATATACTATATATATATATATATATATATATATATAATGAGTATGATAATGCCTATATGAGGTGATTCCCTCTCATATGTAATGATGTTGCACAATCTCCACCAAGTGACATATATCAAGTTAACGCAATACCTTGACTTTGTATGATTGTGTATGATGAATGTCACTTGTGATCGTGCTCATGTTTTTGTGTGGATAATGCAGAAATCATGCATTTGAGTCGACATCCTGTGTTCTGATGAGGTTCATGCTGTTCTTCTGCTTTGTGATGTACAATAATAAAGTGTAACTTTTGAGGATTTGTTTATGTGTAGTCTAATAAAAGTGTATCAAGCCTTCAGAGTTGGATGGTGTTTTTTGTTTTGTGGACTCCGAGGACTGTTACATGTTTAGACTAATAAAGGTTTAATGCTTCATATATCTATTGGTACTGATACTGGTTTAGAAGTTTGTTGGTATTTGAATACTTTCTTCTAAGTATGATTGGTGCTAGTGTTGCTGCATTAGATGATGACTGTGAATTTCAGTATGATTACTGTCAAAATAGTGAATTTTCAGAGTTAAGGAGAGGTAGATGAGAATTCTTTCCACTTGTGTGGGGTTTTAAGGTATTGATCCTTCAAAAGACACGATATTTGAAATAATCTCTCAATTTGTTCAAGTTCATTAAATTTGTTCGGTTTGAATTTAAAATCTAATTTGAATTGGATTAGCTATCAATCAAATCGGCTGCTCTCTCCACCAAGAGTAACGACATTGTGACGGGTCCAAGGGCATACCAATAAGTATGCACATAATCAACAAAAATAAAGGACAAAACAAAAGGTAAAGGAGATACGTAGAATAACGAACATCTGTGACCCTCCGTGATTTATGTGCAAGTAGTTGTAGCTTATAGGTTACATTCTCTTCTTGCTTGTCACCTTTGTCTACTGTATGTGACTTTTGTGCCTTAATTGTGATCTTTGTGGTTTATTTGGTACATTTACTCTTAACTTGTCGCTATCATTGTTTCTTAGTTATCGCATTTACTTCTTATTTGTTACCTTCATGTTATAACTGTCATGTTCTTGTTTTAACTGTCATTTTTGTGGTCTATTTAGTTTGATTCGTTTTTGACAGCAAGAAAGACGGAGTTACCCAAGATATTCAAAATTTTCTTCAAGCATCAAATCTTGCGGAGATTTTCAATAGGATATTGACATACTGTGACCAACACTGACATTATGTTGACAGCATGTATTTTGAGAAACACTACACCTTCGATGAATATTGAGGAAGTATAATGAATAATATTTAGTTTTAACAAATATTATTAGTGTGCCACTAATAATGTTGAGTGTAAGTATCTAATAAACATATAGACAGAGAGTAATAGATAGGACTTAGGTGTAATAAGTCTTCTAAGTATAGCCAACTAGGCTAAATATCATAAAACCCCCTTTAACTTGGGTTATTAGAAAGCTCGCTTTAACTTTGAGATATTACCAGAAAACCGTTTAAGTTTAGGGTGATTTTCTAATAAAGTCTCAAACTTAAAAGGGGCTTCTTTTTCTGGATAAAATTTAAAAGTTAAAGGGGTTCCCGTGATAATCCTAATATTTAAGGGGGTATTTTTTTGTATTTTAAAAGTTAACTTGGATTTTTCAATAATTGTCCAAAGTTGGTATTGTGTGTGTGTGTTGGGGTTGGGGGTGGGGGTGTGGGTGGGGGTGGGGTGGGAGGG